GCATTGCCACGCGGCCACGAAGCATGCCAGCGGTAGACTCGAGCTTCAACTCGGTGGGGAAATTGCCCAACTGCTCGATGAAGCGGCGCTTCTCCTCCACAGAGGCCGTCGACAAGAGCGTGGCAGCCTCGCAGTACTCGTCCTGCTTTTCAACAAGCTCTTTGGCCTTGGCAAATTGCTCACGGAGAATCCAAGCATCGGCCATACGAGTGTGGTCGTACACCCGCTTCGGGTTCTCACCGCAAGCGAGCTTCATGTATCGATGGCGCTCTTCGATGGGAATTCCATGTTCGAGGAGGAGCTCCTCCACAATATACTCCCCCAGCTCTCCAGAGTTGAGAACATTCTTGATCGCAGTTCCCTCACCACCCATGACATTGGCGGATCCAGGGAGAAGGAGAGACGAGGTGATGCCGCCTGACATGATGATCTCAGTGGCCACATCATACGCCTTGGTTGAATCCAGAACGCGCACGAATGGCGTCAAAGGGCCGTAGGCTTCATTTACCTCGTTTGTGTCGTCGGTGGCAGACAGGCCCGGCCACATCATAACTGCATGGTGGGAGTGCATGTCAACCAAGCCGGGTGTGACAAAACGGCCGTGCACATCGTGCTCGACAGCTCCATCGGAGCTGATTGACTTGGAAGCAGTCGTCGCCACCTCGGTGAAGAGGCCTTTCTCAAACTTGATGTCCATTGGCTCGGAGGCAATCGTCTCGCCGTCGAAGAAGGTCGCGTTGCGAAGCACAACAGGTTTCTCTTGGCCGCGCTCCTTATTCCATCGCGGGTTCGACGTACGCGACTTCGGGTTGGGGCTTTGAGGGAAGGTTTTGAGAGAGGCGCAGTGTTGCAGCGACTCCTCGAACCGGGTCAGCCGGGCGGACGAAGTCGCGTGTTGGGCGACATGGTCGAGCTTCGTCTCGCGATCGAGGAGAAGGCACAGCCAGGTAATGGCACCACAAAGGAAGACGGCGAAGAGCAAGCGGACGGATATCAAGCGTCGGGCAAGGATGCGACGAGTCCGGACGCGGGGGTAGGCGGCAGCTTCATACGGTGGTGGGGTCTGGAAGGAATAGAGATCGGCCTCTTTCGAGGATCGGCCTGCTGATTGAGGCATCGTGTGATGATGCTTGGGGTCGAGAGTGCTCCGGGTGAACGAAGCAATTGGTCACCAAAATGGCACCTCGAAGTAGCAGAAGAAGGCTTACGTATCGTGGAGAGTGGGACGTCACACCATTTTATCAGTGGCAGCCTGGGGTAGCTCTCTTGTGAGCTTCAGATTACGACTTTTCGCATCCATGAACGGGAATCTCGACCAGTTGGGAAGGTCAATTCAGCGACGCTGGAGCTCCAGGAAAGCTTGGGTGATGAGCGGGGAAGCGACAGTGGTATCTCACGCGATAAGCTTCTGAAGCTGTTAGTCCGGCCATGTCGTGCGGGAGTGATCTCTAACAGGAAACAATCGACGCCCCCAAAGCTACTTGTGCTCCACTGAAGCTCTCATCGCCAACCGGGAGCTTCGCTGCAGAGTGTGTGCGACAGGGGAACTTTTTGGGGAGCAGCGTGTTGCGTGTCTCATGCTGGACGTGACGCAACCCAGAGTGAGCGTCGCTGGCGCGTCCAGACTCATGCATCGGCGCGTCGACTCGAAGTGAGGCTTGCCATGACCTGCGTGGGAATACAGAATAGGCGCTTGGACTGTCAATCGACTTGCGAATCTCTGGCGTGGCTCCGTCCATCGTGTTGAATATTCGAAGACGAAAGGCCCATCACTCTTCACCAAACGACGACGAGTCCTTCTTCAATGCTAGGATTCTCAAAGTTTCCTGCTCCATCGGGAACATAACCCCGGGCCGCGACCTCGTCCCAACTATTGAATGAAGCCTCGTTGCGCAAGGGAATCTTCAATTCAGCCGTTCCGACACCTGCAATCGACAATTGCCCATACCATAGCCAGGGCGTTGCAGATAGCCACCTGCTTTTAGATGAGCGAGGAGCTGCTAGAAACACCGGACGATGATCCCTGGGGGCGGGAAGTACGGGGAAAGGCACACTTGGCACCGGATCCGAGCCAGCACTTCCTGCAAGTGGATGTCTTGGTGCACATCAATGGGAGAGGGAAACACTGTGAAGGGGGGAAATTCGTCTCGTCTTTCCCTGGTTGGCTTGGGCCGCCTCCGTCTCTGGTGGACCAATAGGTCTCCCCCTCCCCCAAAACGGCATCTGCCACAGTGGGCCTGTTTTGGCTCTGTTTTGGAGTGTTTGACCCTTGGGAAATCCCAGCTGCAGCGACAGCTAAAGCTGTTCTGTTCTGGTCTTCCTGCTGAACATCGACATTTTCTGCGATTCAATGTCTCTTTCCAAATTCCATATTTCTTCTGGTTCCTCCTCACCGCGCCTAGATTGATTTGTTTCCTCGCCTGGCATCCAATCATTTCGTGCTTTTTTTCGATCTACCAGAGACAGCCTCTGCACTGTAATGCTCCTTCGCTGGCGTCTATATCCATTGTCTCGTCCGTAATCTTTCCATTTCTCGGCACTCGCCTTCGCCCTCCCTGCATCTTCTTCGCCATCGACACCACAGACATCTCCACCATTCATCACGATGCCGGAAGCAAAATTGGAAGAAGCAGTTCGGCTGCGCCCTCCGCAGTCTACTGCCCGCCTGGTGGAGCGCATCTGTCAGCTGATATTCGTCTACGCCATCTCCTTCGCCGCCATGTTCATGCTAGTCACCAAGATTTCCCCTGGAAAGTGGCCGCTAAAGGAGCCGTCGCTGGACAAGCCCAGACTCAAGCTAGGGGCCACGAACCGCGACTTTCGCATTGGCATCTTTTCCGATCTGCACTTTGGAGAAGTCGAGTTCGCCTCCTGGGGCATCGAGCAGGACATCAACTCCACTCGCGTCATGAAGAATGTCATGAGGAGCGAGCATCCGGATCTTGTGGTACTGAATGGCGACCTAATTACCGGCGAGGACACCCACAAGGAGAACTCGACAGAGTACATCAATCAGATCGTGCGGCCCATGATCGAGGCTGGCCAGAAATGGACCTCTATTTACGGAAACCACGATTCCAAGCACAACCTGGACCGCGAACAACTCTTCCGCGCCGAGAAGGGCTATGACCTCTGCTACACCACCTCCATGGGCGACAAGCTCCCCGGCATCACCAACTACTACTTGCCCATCTTCGACGGCGACGCCAAGGACCCCATTGCTCTGCTGTGGTTCTTCGATAGCCGCGGCGGCACCACCTACCAGACCGATTCCGACAACATGGACGATATTCCCAATTGGGTCGCACCTGAGACGGCCGAGTGGTTCACCACGACCTACGACGAGCTGAAGGAAAAGCACGGCCGTGTCATCCCTAGCGTGGCCTTCGTGCACATCCCGCCCCACGTTTTCCTCGACGCCCAAAAGTCAAATCTAGACCCAAGCAAGTTTCCGGGCTTGAATGCCGACTCCCCGTTGGCCATTCAGGGCCAGGGCCACGAGGACGACCCGTTCATCGAGGCGTTGCTCGAGGCCGAGGGCCTCCACAGCATCCACGTCGGTCACGACCACGGCGACTCCTGGTGCTCCACTTGGCCCGGCCACGAAGGCGGACTCGGCGCCGAAGCTCCATTCCTCTGCTTTGCAAAGCACACAGGCTATGGAGGATACGGTGAATGGAACCGCGGCGCTCGGATGCTGAGACTGCTGTTTTCCCAGGGCGATAACCCGCAGATGTCGGTCGAGACCTGGGTCCGCATGGAGGACGATCAAGTCATCACACGTGTCTCCCTTAACGAAACCTACGGCCTGGATTCCTACCCTTCCAACAATGGAGAGTGAGGGATGACGGGCTATCTATAACTACAAAGAAATGCATGAGTTACAAAGGGTTGCCTGGACGGATTTATACCGCTGCAGTGGAATATGCAGGATAGGCTATTGAGACCCGGCCAAGTCAACCCAGGAAGCAATAATTACCACTTCGGCTCGTTTCGGCCGCAGTAACTGGTCTTCGAGACAAGACATTCGTGGCACATTCTCCCTCCGAAGGATGCAGGATGCTGTGCGCCCACCCTTCTATACATTCCCTCACTCCTCCTCCCATTCCTCTGGGCTCGCACGGAAATTGCACAGTCCTCGCCCTGCGGTCAGCTGCGGTCAGCACCACACTTTGCGGCCGGCCGACGCCTCGTCGCAAGCTAAAAAAGAACGCCAAACAGGCCGCCAGCAATCTGTGCGATGCAGCCATAATACCATTGTCTTCTTCCTTCGCGCACTTTGTCTTTCTGTTCCTCCCGCCATCGATCTTACCGTTCTCCAAAACATTCTGCGGGAGAGTCTGGGACGATCAATATGGACAGAAACACAACATCCAGTGAGCGACCACCGCCGAAGTACGCGACTTTCAAGTCATTCGCAATGTCTCGCCAACCTCTTCAATATGCACGACGACCAATTTACATTCTAATTGTATACTTACTTCTCCTACTTGGACCCTGGATTTGCATCTGTGTCGTCAATCAGCGAACAACGTCCGATCCTTTGGGCATCCTCATGCGGGATGATTTCGACAAGTACAGCCGATGGATGCGCGTGGCGCCGTTCCTGAGTGCAGTGACGGCTGTCATTGCGCTGCCATGCGTTGCGGCTCTTCTGGCCCACGGTGCAGTGGTGTTTTCTCAACGACGATCCCATCGGCAAGCCCTCAGCCTCCGACAGCTGTATGCTCTTTCCGACATCCAATGGACGGCGGTTTTCTCTAAAGGACAGACATCGTCTTACCTGATGATGGCTACAGCATTGCTTCTGCTGGGTAAGCTTTTTGCCGACTGCTTGTGATCAATTGGCTGACCAGATCCAAGTTGCGGCACAGTTGCCTCTTCAATCACTGCTGATGCCGATGTCCGCTCGTGTGGTTTACCCATGCGACAGCTCTCGACATCTGACAAAATGGGATCGCACGTGCGATGGTGCAAGGTATCGGGCAGAAAGGGTCGGCATGGAGCCTGAGCCGGCTTTGCTGAGGGTTTCCACCGACTTCCCCAACATCATCAGTCCAGTGAGATCCAAGCTGGCCAGCATCACGTCAGCTGACGTCCAGGAGAATCTGTGGCGCGACGGAAACACTGACAGAAGCTTTGTGACTGGATCAGACCACAAATACAACGACGCTTTCTGGGTTTCGTCTGTGCCTGCAGGAACGACAACGGGACCGCTCCGGCAACACTCGATGAGACTCAACTCAACTGCCGACTGCCAAGTTGCGACTCGTGAAGACTTTCCTTCGGACTGTGTCGGCTACTCAACCACTCTTGAAGGATTCGGCGTCACCATCAAGGTCTGCATGCCTGATGACTCCAAGAACCCCGAAGTTGAGCGAGCGCTGCTTCCCCCGCGTCGACGTCAAGACATTGACGAAGTCGTGTTCATCGATGCGCAAATCAGCCCTGAGGCATCCCAGGCCTCCGATTTCGTGTCAGACCCAGCGGAGAATGTCACCCTGAAATGCACGGCCAAAACAACCCGTGCATTTTTCGAGCTTGGTAACTTCTACACCAACCTTAATCAGTCAGGCATTATCGACGAGTGGCCCTCGGATGAGGTGATGAAGGCCCAGTACCACGATTACGACTGGGCGGGCAACCTCATCACCAGCGAGTGAGTTCAAACATGCCCAAATTTAAGTCTGATACTAACACCCTGCAGGTCGGATCAAGAGTGGGATCGCGACGTATTCGGGGGATGGACTTCGTCTCAGGGCCCGCTGAGGACGACTGTAGAGGCCCTCTTCGGCGCCGAATCGTACCCGCAAGCCGTACTCGCCTTCCTCAGCCAAACCTTTCCCGATGGCCAAATGCCCGGCAACCTCACTTTGACTGATGACTCGGTCCGCGATGCAACGAAGAAGGGTTGCGCCTTGCCCGCACCTCTTCATGGCTGGCAAATGCCTTACAACTCCAAAAACGACGAATTCGACACATGGTACCCTTCCATCTATAACGGATGCACGCTGAAGAAGCTTCCCAAGTCGCTATTCAGGATCGCACAGGGTCTGCGTCACTTGACTGTGGCTCAAAGCACTCTTGGGGTCGGCATGTACCTGTCCAATGCTGCCGTCCTGCAGGATGCAGCTTCGAACGATGCGGCAAGAACGATCTACAACCTCACTGGCACGGCTTTCGTTGCACCAAAAAACAGCCTCGGGGCGACAGTCATGCTCAGCGCGCTCATTGCCTTTCAGGCAATCTGTCTCGCCCTGCTCGTCTGGTACATCTGCACCCTGCCGACATGGACAAACACACTCGATTCGTTTGCGATGTTCAGAGTAGGCTCGCAACTGAAGGACTCAGTCAACCTCCCTCCTATGGGCCGTTTTGACAAGGACGATATGCACAAGTTTAACGAAATCGATGGCCTAGTCGGAGTCGTCCCGAGGCCGGGCATCACGATGGACGACGATCTCGAGATGGCGGCCATTACATCGTCCAACCGTCTGATCCGAAGTGCATCTTCGGCGCAGCAGTACGAGATAATCAGGCCCTCATCGCCGGCCAGCTCAGTCAGTTTAGCCTCGTCCGCGGATATGCCGGCCGTGCCGCCGCAAGCTCGCCAGGTCCCCGACGGAACTTACCCGGGCTGCGTACCCGGGATGTCGGCTGCTGACTTGAGCTCCTACCTTCAGGGGGGAGGGCTCGCTACGCCAGTATCCCCAGTCTCATCCGTGGCGTCGTCTGTGAGGAGTGCGTCCCCGCCGCCGCCGTATTTGCCGACGAACTCGTCAAACAGGGAGCAACGGACGAGTTTGCCGTATGAGCTCGGCTTGGGAGCCCCGGGACTGATCACGAAAGCATTGTGGAGCAGAAACCAGCCGAAATAGTCGGCTTTGGGAGTTGCATTGGGCCGTCGCTTATCGCAGCCAGCAAGCCTTGGAGTTTACATTCATTCATGTCGAATTAGAACTGATACCCAGAAAATAACAAACGTCGTATTATCCACATTGTCGATGCGTTTCTCCTCATGAGAAGTATCCATTGCCGTCATTGGAAGTCGCCAACAGCGACAGATGTATGTCGTCGTTCCAACTCTTGCTTAGTTAAACTCTCCATTATATTCAGCCTCCTCGACGCCCACCAAGACTCCTCGGATCCCAGCAGCAGCCTTGAAGTTCGATAAAAGTGGTACAACACCAGCAGTGCCCACGTGTCACTGCTGACAACCATTTCTAGAAAAGTGCCGACGCAAAAGAGCGGGAACGAGAGGATATACCGCTCAAGATCGGCTCTTTGCGGTGGCGACGAGTTGGTCTCTCTGTGCCTCCAGAGCGCGAGGATGACGGAGAGGCGCGTGACGATGGCGTGGTATGCCTCGCGCTCTTTTGTCGTCTGGGTGGAGAGCTCTGTTTGAGTAGTTGATGTTTCGTCATACCTTGTCATGAAATCTGCTACTATGCCTTCACTGTTCATAACCTGGCTCGCGACGATATCTTCCAGAGCACTGCATTGAGATATCGAAGACATGTTTGCGAAAATGCTATCTGGACCTTGGGCCCTTGTGCTGGACAGAAACACCCTCACACCGGAGCTGAGAAGGAACAGCTGGTCACCCTTTAGGTCCAATCGACGGCCGTCAGCTGGCTTCCCCTCGTCTTCCAGGACGTCTAGGTTGCACCACGTGAGGTAGTGGATCAACATGGCCGTGAAAAACAGCGGGTTATGCTTCTCACGGCCATCGTCCTGGCTGAGGGCGGTACTAAAGCCAGCACAGCTGCGAGACAGGAGTGCCAGGGCTGCTTCATCGTACACCGGCTCGTCTGGGCGTAGGACACTAAGGTGTCGCGCCGAGGTGGCCAGCATGGCCGTCATCAGGTACTCTTCCTATCATTCCTGTGAGTCAACTTTCCGTGCTCCTCAAATCCTCAAATCCTCAAAGGTAGCAAAGAATTCCCACCTTGAAAGCGAGCGACGTCGCCGGGCCCCATACTTCAGAAAAGCAGAGAGTAGGAACCGTAACGTGCTGAAAGTGATGGAAGAGCTCCAGGTGGACAAGGTTTACCGGCCCAGAGAGGTGTGGCGTTCGGGAGGATGCGGGTGAGGCGTCCTTTTCAGGAGTAGCGGAGGATTTGTGGGTTGATTCGCATGTTTCGTTCCGTCTGATGCAGTTCGAGCAGGGTGTTTGCTCGTCGCACTTGGGATCGTCAGAAGCCTGACGGGTTCGTAAAGCACCAGGAGGGAACGCACCTTGACTTTCCGCTTCTTGCAGGCGCCACAGCCGCCTCGGCTCTTCTTGTGCGCCCTCATCTTTTTCGTCTCGTTGTGGGTCGGGTCGATGAACCGCAGCGACAGACCGGGTTCTGTACCCTGAGATCTGGGGTCTGACATCGTGTGATGGATCACCTTGAGCAGTAGGGGATGACTCTATGGAATGTTCGTGTAGCTGCTGGTTGAAAGGCTCAGGGTTGAACTTTCATAGATTAGAGAGTCACTGTATCTCAACAGGTACTGCTTGATTTGTAAGATTCCGGTCCCGGGTTTTTCTTTGGGCGCCATCAAGGACAGGTTCGATGTGGACTCGGAGGGGTGTTGTCAAATGCTGAAGTGCCTGGGGTAAGCCTGGTTGCCTAACTGGGAATATGCGGGGGTGGCTGCAGTCCGAATAGAGTTTAGCTCGAGGGTACCTGGATACCAGACCAGTGGTGCCAGGGGAGCCGGCGTCTTCATTCGCCAGCGTGTAAGTGAGTTAACATGAGCCGGCTGCAAACTGTCTGCGGGCTTGCATAGCACATTGACCCTCTGCGACTGTAATAAGACTCTAACGAGCAAATTTCTTGACAAAACAAAGTAAGACTTCGGGTTTGAAGGAAGAATTGTGTTCCTATGACGTCATTTACGGGTCCAACCTCTCTGGGAAGACACCTTTTATCTCTCTCGTGAGAAACAACCGCATAATCCACAGTTGATCAAGTCAGGAGGGTAGATATATGTCCAGTCACACCATTCGCGAACAAAAAGCTAATTTTGAACGAAGAACATAGCAGGGACGATGGCGATGCCAACTACAACGAGCAAGGACGACAACGGTGGCAAGGAGGAGGACGGTAGTATTAGAGTCCACCGGAAAGGTAGTCCATTAAGAGCAGTAAAAGTTGTGGTCTCTTGGTACACCAAATATCCTACCAGAAACTCTCTGGTAGATGAAGTCCCCCTTGATAGTGTAGGCATCTAACATTATCAAGACTGACACACTGACAAGTCCTCATGGCCCGCCAAGATCTCAATGAAAGTGACGAGGAATATCACCGAATACTTTTTTTGTTGTTTCTCGCTCGCTCACGATCCGACCAACTAACCAGGCGTTCGTTTCCTCGTACCGCCTTCAATCCGTCCTTCCCCCGGAGGCATGAATTTCCTCCTCTTTGGCCATCGACCTACCAGGTCACAAATTTAGACTTTTCTGTACCTGAAATCAGGGTTACGGGTACCTAGCTTGAAAGATGCCGGTTCCTGAAAAGATGTTAGAGATATCTCTGGCAATTGATGCTTGAAGATAGACTTTTCTGTGCCTGAAAACAAGGTTACGGGTTCCTGAAAAGGTGGTCTATGTTATCTGACCCTTCAAGCTTTCACGATTCCTTCGATGAATCCCTATAAAACCCCAATCTCTCTCATGGTCTGGTCCTCCTGAAATCTCTCCTTCTCTCTTCATCGTAGCTTGATTTCTATTTCGCTTCCAGCAGATACAATTCTCGTTACACACAACTCTCACCAGATACAACTTTCGTTACACACATCTCTCGCCATACACAACCTCCTTCACATACACACACCGTTTTTACCCTGTTTGTCTCGAAGTGGTCAGTATGACCTCTAGCGAAGTATCTCGAGAGCCTTCTCAGCAGAAGCGGGAGGTGGCCTCCAGAAGCCCCCGTTTCTATGTTCAATTCGACTGTGGCCTGTCTATTCGATGCAAGCCTACGCCCACCCGCTTCCACGGCGACCTTTGGGTTGAGCCTCGTGAGCGGGCCATGGCAGCCATTCCTGAACACGACCAGCCCACACCCCGCGCTCTCAATCTCTTCACAGATGCCTCTTTTCCTGGCAGAGAGTCGTGGGGAAATGGTCCCAGCGGTCACTCAACACTGGACAACCCCGCGGGAGCCACCGTTACTTGGCAACCCCGCCCCGGTCTCAGCCCCGACTGGACAGCCAGCACGTACAGGCTCATCAAGTGCCCGGACTTCCTGGTGGCAGAGCTGTACGCCTTGGCTCTCGGGTTCGAGACCGCCCTCTACCTGTCCCGCGCGGTCCCCGACCTTCGACAAGTGAACATCTTCACGGATTGCAAGGACGCGATCCGTTCACTCATGAGGGCCGACGCGTCGGACGATGATCCCTTGGTCCAAAGAGCCGTTGCGGCATCCGCCAAATTAGAGGCCAAGGGTATCAGAACCGCAGTCCGATGGTGTCCGGGCCATGTGGGCGTTGAAGGCAACGAGAGGGCAGACCAGCTCGCCAAAGCAGTTCGCCGCTGCTCGACAAGGAAGGGGGCCGTCCCGACTGAGATGCCAGACACGATGAAGGAGTACAGGGTCACCGTTAACGACCACGAACTCCGCTCCTTCAATGGCCGGTCCTCTCCGCCAAGTCGTTCGCCTAGTCCTCAGCCCGCACCATTGCTCTCTCAGGGGCCCATGATAGGGTCTTACAATGAACATTGGCTTTGGGTTCCTTCCTCCGTCCTGACACCAGTTAACTCAGGACACCCAAGCCCCTTCAGACCACCCACGCCTCCTGGTTTGGACTTGTTTCCCGCATACCAGGCGGCAATGAGTCTGACATGGCCTCAGGCCTACTATCAGCAGCCCCCCATGCAGACTCATGGGCTAACATACCCTCCTGGCCTGATGCCCCAGGCCGGTGCCATGGTCTACGCATAGACCTGAAAGAAGCAGCGTCACCAAGCCTGCTAAGTCGGCTTAGTTCCCTGCCAAAGAACGCGAGTCCAACTCTGGAGAGGACTGGACCGGCATTGACGATAATGCCGTTCCAGCATCCCACCCGAAAAAGAAAAAAAAGAAGAAAAAAACCTACACCTTTCGGACACCTCTTCGGACACCAACCGCACGTTATAGGACATGCACTCTTCGAATACTTCCCTGGCAGCCGCTCTCCTTCACACCAAGTCGTTGGCCAGTACCAGCGTCCTTCCAGTCAGCTATGGAGGACATGGTTCTACGCAGGGCCTTTCCAACGACTTACACGCCGCCAGCGGCGCTTCAGCGATCAGGTCTCCTCAGACCGACAAATGGAGACTACCTCGCACTTGCGGAGCTGCCAGCCTGGAACATCCAGCAGTCTACTATACCGGCAGGATAACAACCACACCAGGTCGTAACACTACCGGGATCACTTTGATCTTGGAATGCGTTGCCGCCTAAATACATCCTGTCGGTAGATCTCCTCTCAAACAAACGCAAGGCCTTTGTGCTCCCACGATCGCTTCAAACAACACACTCGTGGTAGACCAACGCTACAGTCACCGCCTCATTCTAGAGTGCGTTGCCGCCACATCAAGGCTGTCACACTCCCAGGATAGCCTCCAACACCACAACTCGCGCGATAGACCAATGTCCCATCTCATCCTAGAATGCGTCGCCTACCTTAACAAGGTCGTGTCGCTACCAGGATCACTCACGACAACAACTACAACACAAAACTCATGGTAGACCAGTGTCCCGCGCCACCTCATCCTAGAATGCGTCGCCTACCTAAGCAAGGTCGTGACGCTACCAGGATCGCTCACAACAACACAAACATTGTAGTAGACCAATACTACAGTCACCACCGCATCCTTGAAAGCCCCGCCGCCTCATCAGGGCCGTTGCGCTACTCGGATCACTTATAACAACAGCACAAACCTCGTGGTAGACCGATGTGCCACATCATCCTAGAATGCGTCGCCTGCCTGACCAAGGCCGCGGCGCTACCAGGATCGCTTTCAGCATAAACATCATTGGCGACAATGCCATCTCAAGCGTCGAACAAGACGTTTCTTGTGTTACGACACAGACTACGCAGCACTCGACAGGAAGGACTCTTAGGATCCCACCCACCGTGACAACTAGAGTCACACTACCGGCTTAACGCCACTTTTGAACAACACCCAGCGACTGATTTTAGCGATTGCCTTTGATTTACCTGTTTACCAAAAAAAAAAAAAAAAAAAAAAAAAAAAAAAAAAAAAAAACCCTTGTGCTGCGTGGTCTGTTATTTCATTTCATTTACATCGTGGTGCAGTCAAAGACTGCAGGAAAGGGAAGGGAATGGAAGGGGAGAAAGGAAGGGAAAGGAATGATAGGGAAGGAAAGGAAGGGAAAGGAAGGGAAAGGAAGGGAAAGGAAGGGAAAGGAAGGGAAAGGAAGGGAAGGGAGAAAGCGCTGCGGTTCTAGTTGTTTGCTTTCGATGCTTACACATTTAGATCGCTTCGCACATGTTTGGAGACCTCTGAATGGGCATATGGAGAAAGCACTGCTAAGCGGTGCTAGGAATTGTCTGTAAACAAGGCATGGGTTTTGATCCGAGAAGGGTTTCCCATGACTTGGGGCAGTATTATAACACAATAACAGCCTCAAGGTTGAATATACACAAAATATCAATGATCCCTCTTCTCTGACGTAGCAACCTCTTGATCATGACTTGCATTGACGAGACGCTCCGTCGCCGTGAGCGTCTTATGGAATCTCCAAGGCTTGATGCCGCGCTCGAATAATTCGTCCAGCTCCGCAGCGGAGCGGCTGTTGTGATATCGTCAGTATGTTTATTAAATGATTCCGGTTGAAGGACGTACCCCTTGGTCTCGGGAATCAGGAACCACATGGCCACCACGAACGGAAGTCCTACGCCGGTGTAGAACCAGGCCGTCTTCAGCTCCCAATTCCACTGGTTTCCGTCCACCATGTACGGGGTCAGCACGTTCATGACCACGCCCGCAACGCATGTAGAGGCAGCTCCGAATCCAGCTGTGTAAGGCCGAAGCCTTTGCGAAGAGATCTCGCCGATGAAGCCCCAGCCGGTGGCTCCATTCGCAGTCATGCCGATATCTAGTCCAACATCATCAGCATTCATTCTTTCAAAGTTCAAGTTGCCAACTCACTCCACAAACACGCAAAGAAGACCAACAATACAAAGGTCGGCCCACGTCTCGGCACAACCCCGAGAATCCCAATGGCCATACACGCAGCCCACGACAACGTCGACCCGCTGCACGAAATCCACCTTCGCCCGACCTTGTCCGCAATCAGTATAAACACCAGCCCGCTCACAATATTGATCCCGGACGTGATGCACGTCGCCTGGAACGGGTCCTTGATGCCCGCCTGCTTGAAGAAGTAGCTCGCAAACGTCGAGAACAGCGTCAGCCCCACGAACTGCTGCGTCATGAGCGTCCACAGTGCCGTCACCGTCCGCTTGCCGTCGACGCCCTTGAAGATGGCGTACCACTCCACGTTAGCCTGAGACCGCGCGACCTCCATCTCGTGGTCGACAGCGATGACGAGGAGCTGCAGCTGCTTCTCGACGTCGTAGTCCTCGACGCCGCGGTACAGCCAACGCAGCGACTTGCGGGCTGCGTCCAGCTTGCCGCGGGTGACGCACCAGGCGGGCGATTCCGGGACGAGGACGTAGATGATGATCATGAGGCCGATCTGGCTCCACTGCGTGTAGATGGGCGTCTTCCAGTCCTCTGGGGCGTACTGCGACATGACCTGCAGCGCCACGGGCGCGAAGAACTGTCCGAGGGCGAACCAAAAGTTGTAGGCTAGTAGTAGCCCGCCGCGTATTCTCGTTGGGGCGACCTCGGCGATGTAGGTCGGGACGGTGGACTGTAGGCAGCCCACGCCGACGCCCGCGAGCAGTTTGGCAACCAGCCATACGGGCCAGGTCTGGGCCACGGACTCGCAGAGGATACTCATAGATAGGATGAACCAGTACCAATACATGGCGCCCTTGCGGCCGAAGCGGTCGGAGAGGAAGGGGACAGTTGTCATGCCGATGATTTGGCCGACGGACATTACCGAAGACCAGGCGCTGAGGATGGGTGCGGCGAGGTTGGGTTCGCCGCGCGAGGTGGTTTCCGTTGCGAACTGGTTGATGAAGCCTGGGTTGGCGATGATGTTGCCATTGATGCTACGTTGTTGTTAGTCTCATGTGGATGTCTCCTTATCATACCCGGTTCCTAAGAGCAACGAAACACAGAACACTTACCCAATCTGATAACCATCTGTCGCCGCGCTGAATGCAACAGCAAAACAAGTAGCGGAGCATACTTTGAACGCCTTGAAAGTCTCCCACAATGTTAAGGTCTCGTAACCCGACACGCCCTGGCCCTTGGCGGCGGCATCGAGGGTCACGTCCTTGGGGTTGTCATGTTGATTCTCGAGTCCGACATCGTCGGCGTGCTCAAGGGCGATATCTGGCTTCTGGTCCTCTGTCTTCGTCATGCTTAAGATTGTCAGAAAACTTCACTCTTGCCAATGAGACTGAGAAAGCCAACATCCTGAGATGAACCATTATATATCTCGCAATGCCGAAGACATGGGACGCAAACGGCAGAGCGGGTAAAGCCAGCACCACGTTCATATACATGTCGTCCAAGGCCGCTAGGTCCCGGTGCGCTGGGCTGTGTCATTGCGCCAAGCATCTTGGGTCTAAATTGTCCACAATGATACACCGAGGACAAGGAGGGCGCACCCAACAATCTGGGGTAAGAGTCTGGGGAAGTGGCACTTTGATGGGGAGCATCAACTCCACGACGCCCGTTCGGTTTGCATTACCCCGGAATATGCCCCAGATTCCCAAGGAAGCTGTGATCGGTAGTTCGAGCCAAGAGGGCGAGTCGTGAGGGGAACCCCGCATCAACAGTATCGCTACTCCGACTTGGAAGTTTTAAACATCGTTTTTTACTCCACTATTTGGCTTGAAAAGGATATCCTACGCTCAAGGTTTGAGACGGTTGGTCAGTTGGTACGGCTGGTTGACTTGGAAGGTCCAACACAAACAAGGTCCCGCTGGACATGGGGTTGTTCGACCCAGAACCTCGGTTGTCAAGAACGAGAACCAAGGCTAGGAAATCATGGTCCCGGATCTTTTACACAGGAATCTTCTCACTTATTATTTGATGTATTGGGGCAGAACAATCGCAATCGCATTGAAATGTCTGCATGTGAAATCTGCGCGGCCGAGGCTTGACCTATTTACAGCCTTCGTTCTTCTGGCAATGTCGAAGATGTTTAGACGCAGGCCGCGTCCACTCTACTAACACGCTCTTCAGTCTGTACTAGGCGTCGTACGCGTTAACAAACATTCAATTTTCAGAGACTCGATGAGATAGCAGGAACTTTGCGATATGAACTTGAAAATGTTTTCGATTTCTTACACCAACGCCTGCACTTGCTCTCGTCGTCATCGACCCTACTCGACTCGCCTCTTGTGTATTCTCCGTTTTATATGTCTTCGTCGCCCGAGACGCTACACGGGACTAAAGGGCAACGACTCCCCGTTGCAGTAGCACGGCGTCCATCATTGGCCAAAATTCACATGATGTAACCAATCGTACATGATTTATACAAGACAACTCCACACACGCCATCTCTGAAATGTTGATTTGGCGGACCACAGCTTCGTCACCTTACAAGTACTTCTTGGGCATCGAGTTCTTTCTTCTCTTGTAAAGGACGTAGCCGACAGCGAGAACGACCTGAGACCCGACAATGACGAGGATAAGCTTGCCGTGACCAGGAGCGGCGTTGACAATGTTCGAGGACAGGGTGGAGTGATGTTCGCTCATGTAGCCCTTGAGAGAGTGCTCCGTGTTCTTCATTTGCAGGTTGAGATCGGTGCGCATGGCGCGGATCTCACGCTCGAGGGCGTTGATGCGGTCCTCGATGCTGTAGACCTTCTCAATCTTGCGCAGCTCCGTGCGGAGCGAGTCGAGAATCTGCGAGGTCTCTGCGTGGCGGTTCTCGGCGTGCTGGTTGTACTGGTTGACAGAACGGTAAATGGTGCCGATCTGGTGGTTCACCGACTGAAGACGGTTGTGCAAATCGGCGAACTGCGCCTTGGACGAGGTGATCACGTCGGCAGGGCTGTCGGGGATGGCGTTGAGGTCGATGGGATCTTCGTTGCCGCTGCGGGGGTTGTTCGGCTGGCCCTGGTTGGCCTTCTGCTCATGAGCTTGTTGCTGCTGCTGCTGCTGCTGGCCCTGGTTCTGCTGCTCGCCGGCGTGAAGCGAGTCGGACATAACGACCATCTTGAAAATCTCGAAAGAGTCCGGGTTGTCGGCGCTAGCGGCGGTGATACCGAAGGAGTAGCCGGGAGGGATCTTGACCTTGTCGGTTTCGAAGCAAAGGCGTCCGTCGATCTCGACCTTGAAGACGCTGGAGGTCTGGCGCAGCTTAATCTGGCTGGGGCGGCCGAGATTGCGGTAGTGGTACTGGCAGTGACCGAAGGCAAGGCCGCTGATATCACTCTGGGCCTTGTAGTCGGTCGAGCGGTCGTTCAAGAAGCCGCGAACCATGCCACCAGTACCGCCGTGACCGTCGACGACAAGCACGAGACCGTCGAAGCGGCCTGCAGTGTATGCTGAGCTCATGCCAACATCGTTGGAACCGCCGCTGGTGAGCCAGATGTTGAGGTTTCCACCGGCGCGCTCGCCGCCATTGGCACGAAAGTCGATGTCGGCGATCCAGTTGCTGTGCATCACCTTCTGGGTGCTCCAGATGGAGCCGCGCTGGTTCCCGGGGGCGACGGGGGTGAGGATGATCTTGTTGGAGAGGATTTCGGGCTGGTTTGGTTGTCCCTGGAGGACAAAGTTGGGAACGTGGCCATCGTTGTTGGGCGATATGCTGTTAGACGTCGTGGTTAGTGGGAGCTTTTGGAGATCGGCCGTACGTGGGCGCGCTGGAAACATGCGGCTAGAGGCCTTCTTACCTGCCAGTGTAGCCAAAGCTGAGCTCATTGATGAGGTACTGAGCTTGTGTCAGGCTCGCACCGAGAAGAAAAGCGAGCGTCGAGCTCAGAGGAGCTTGCGATACACGCATTGCGACTGAGGGTGAGGTGGCACGCGGGAGCTATTTGAGGTGGTGGAAATGGTGGGGAGAGGAGAGCGGGCGTGGATGGGTATCAAAGAGTTGGAATAACGAAGCCGGCCGTACGCGCCCACAGGGTCGATCAATTGCGTATTAAATCACAGAAGCAAGCTCCTGAAAAGGATGCAGAATTGAAGAGAAAATACGAAATGCAGAAGACGCGGGATCCAAACAAGCGTGGGAATGGCGAAGATGGTTAGAGGGCCGCCAAGTTGAGAAACTCGAGGCAGGGGTCGTTGGTGGTGGTGCGGTGTCTGTGGGTTGAGGACAGGTTGGCACAAAAAAGTGTCAAAGACTCGCTGTGAAGCTCCTGTGCTGCTGTGGATGGACCACACTGCCCCTTCTGGAAGGCTGTTTGTCGGCGTTGGCTTCCGAGAAGCGGATTGAGCTAAGGAGTAAATGAAAATCAGCTTGAATGGAGAGCACGGCAGGCCAATGATTCTTTATTCGCCTCTGGCTTTGCTAGTTTTAATCTAGAAATGTCTAGTCTCCCTCAGGAGGTCGTGGGGTCTCGTGATGATGGATTCTAGAGATGAAGCTTGGGTACTGTTCCGCGGTCTAAGACGGAGCATGAGCCTTTACTGGAGACTGTCACGAAATAGAAGGGACCCTGGTCCACCACCTCCGCGTCGTAGGTAGGTATGGCCCGAGCTGTGCTCGCGCGGTTCCTTGTATTAAGGTAAAGATAACTGTGGCGTGGAGCTCTCTATCTGTGGCTTGAGCATGCACCAGCCACATCTATGTCTGAAGCTTCTCTGACCCACTTCTAGAAGTCGGGGCTGGTTTCACCGCGATTTCTGCACGGACCCCAAAACGAACCCCTGTCCGTCGCTTAGTCCACACCTTCTCCAAAATGGCAAGCTGCAGCTTTGAGAGCAGGACCCCTGACGAAAGCGAAGGTGGCCTGTGATTTTCCTCCCACCTGCCGGGCAGCTTCAGCTCTGTCACCACGCCAAATTGAAGCTCTCACGGCACCGCCCTGTTCAATGCGGACAACCTGCTGATCAGCCCTTGGAACGCGCCACAATGGCTGAATCATACCCAACACTCTCCCAATGCGCGCTTGTCGCCGGCGCGCTCAAGGTCCTCCTCTTCCCGGCCTAGTAAGTGGACCGCCGACCGACACCTCCGAGAAGCCACCGTCGCTGACCTGCCGCGAAGCAAATCCACCGACTTCGAAGTCCACCGGAACTGGCTCGCCATCACAAACAGCCTGCCTTTGTCCAAGTGGTACTACGAGAAGACCTCGGAATGGACCCTCGACTACCCTCCCTTCTTCGCCTACTTCGAGTGGGTCATGTCCCAGGTCGCGAAGCTCGTCGACCCGGCCATGCTCAAGGTCTACAACTTGGAATACGATAGCTGGCAGACGGTATACTTCCAGAGATGGACTGTCATTATTTCGGAGCTGGTCCTAGTCTATGCGCTGCAGCGGTGAGTGCATCCACTTGTCCTTCGGGATGAGAACAACAGCTTATATGGGATGTTACTAGATTCATCGAGACCGCGACGGGAGGAACGAGGCGTGCTGCCCAGGCTGCTGCCATCTCAATTCTTCTTTCCCCTGGTCTTTTGATCATTGACCACATCCATTTCCAGTACAATGGCGCCATGTACGGTGTGCTCATCCTGTCCCTCGTTCTGGCGAGGTCCAAGTCGGGCTTGCTGGGCAGCGGGCTGGTGTTTGCTGCGTTGCTGTGCATGAAGCACATCTATCTGTACCTCGCCCCGGCCTACTTTGTCTTTCTTCTCCGTGCCTACTGTTTGTCGCCCAAGTCCATGTTCAGAATCCAGTTCCTCAACTGCATCAAACTGGGAGGTGGTATTGCGGCCATCTTTGGTGCCGCATTTGGACCGTTTGCAGCTCTGAATCAGATACCACAGATGATGAGCCGCCTTTTCCCGTTCTCGCGAGGTCTTTGCCATGCCTACTGGGCCCCTAATGTCTGGGCTCTGTACTCCTTCGCGGACCGCGTCCTCATTTATGGTAGGTCATCCACTGACCCATGACTATTCCACAGGAGCATGCTAACGGAAATTTAGTGGCACCCAGGCTCAATCTCCCTGTCAAGGCCGAAGCCATCAACAGTGTCACCAGAGGACTCGTGGGTGACACAGCCTTTGCGGTGCTGCCAGAAATCAGTCCACGCACTTGCTTCGCTCTCACGCTCTTCTTCCAGGTGCTGCCTCTGATCAAGCTCTTCTTCCAGGCCCAGACACCCTTGCCCTGGGACAGCTTTATTGGGGCGGTGACTCTGTGCGGCTACGCTTCATTCCTCTTCGGATGGCATGTGCACGAGAAGGCCATTCTTCTCGTCATCATTCCCTTCAGCCTTATTGCGCTCAAGGATCGCCGCTACCTCAGTGCATTCCGACCATTGGCTGTCGCTGGGCACGTCTCCCTCTTCCCCCTCCTTTTCACGTCGGCGGAATTCCCAATCAAGACGGTTTACACCATCTTCTGGCTGATTCTGTTCCTCCTGACCTTTGACCGATTGGCGCCGGCTTCCAGAAAGGCCAGGTTCTTCTTGCTTGATCGATTCAGCACGCTGTATATCGCAGTCAGCATCCCGTTGATTCTGTACTGCTCACTGCTGCACCAGATAGTGTTTGGGAAGCGGTATGAATTCCTGCCGCTAATGTTCACGAGCTCGTACTGCGCGGTGGGGGTCGTCGGCAGTTGGCTCGGGTTCATGGTGGTTTACTTCACGTCATAAAAAGTGTGGCAAATCGGTTTCTAAGCGATGGGTTGTTCATAGTAATCGTGTATAAAAGACGAAAATAAGACAAAGACTGTGCCCTTGGGCGAAACTTCTGCGTGCCAGTGATGACGGCCAGTTGCGGGAAGTCTAAAAGAGACGCTTCGTCCCGTGGGGGCCTGGTCGACAGGAGCCAATCAAAATGCAGAAACTCACGTGTCTGGAGGCTGACAGCAGCACCCAGATCCACTAGCAGCCATGTCCCAGGCGAGAAACAACATTTTGGAGCTAACGGCTGAGCAGGGGGACCGGGGGTCGTGGGCCCCTTGGACACAACCCATTGTATGCCATCAGCAAACGGAAGAGCAAAACAAACGCATGTCGAGCACAGTTTTGGCCATGCAGAATCGATTTCTGCCTAATTGACTGCTCTGGAATGCACTTGTAAGGAAATCACTTACACGGAGCTCGGCGGCCCGGAGTGGCCTTGTCGGAGCAGTCCGGCCTTGATATCGCGACTTTTCTCGAGCCCCGTCTGTCGGAGGAATACAAAAAAGATTAGATATAAACGAATCATATCAAATTTACCACGGAAGCATTTGGAAGTAAATTTTAAGGCGTTGTGGTGGTAAAACGGTGCTCCTCCGGATGCAATCCCGAGGAGGTGATTGACGAAAAACAGCCTACCCGTCAAGGCCGGACGGTGCACATGACATATATGAGGATAAATCTACGAAAGTGGAGTCTTTTCGGTCACTTGAGTGCTCAATCGATTGCTCCGGCGGCGGCGAGTGCAACGAGTACGAAATCGTGGGTGGCCGACGCGGGTGTGGGATTCCCGAGGTGGACGGAGTCGTGGCGGGTGGAGGAGGGTGAGGAGGCCTGGTGAGCAGCGCTCTGGGAGATGGGATGCGGAGGCACCGTGGGCCGAACGGGCCAAGCGGGCGTGGGCCAGGACCGCTTTTACTGGCGCTCTTCGTCTTTTTCCCTTTTCCTTTCCCTCCCCAAGCTCACCACTTCTCTTCCCACCTTTTTGTTTTTTCCCCTCGACGTTTCACCCACGACTCGCAGGCTGCGCGTTTCCTCCATTAGCCCGCGACCACAACCACCCTCAACATCGCCATTTGCAACCACATCTACCGCCCTGACACGTCTTGTTCGACCCGCACCGCGTCCGCCAACTCGCGTGTAAGTGCACCGCCGAACCCGCTCTCTCCCCTGCCCGACACCTCGACCGCGCCTCCGCCCCCTCCGGCCGCGACCACAACAACCCGCCACGACCAGCACGACGCGCCGCTATCGACCGGCAGATGCTTCTCGAGAGTCTCTGACACCACTTACACCGGTTCAAGAGAAGGAAGGCTGCAATACAGCCCCGTTGCGCATTTGGACCTCGACTTTTGGACCATGCCATTGTAGCCCACCGCCACCATGGTACGGACCCCGTACGTGCCCCGAGGGAGCGCGCGCCGCTGACTTGCAATCCAGGTCTTATTCAAGCGCAAACCGGTGCAGTTCTTGCCGCCCAAGGACATTAAGGATGACAATGCAGAGGTTCGAAAATTGAACTTCACGGACGATGCGACGAATACTGATGTAAGCCCTCAGGTCTGGCACATACCGCAGACCGGTGAAGTCTTCGCCCATTATGAAGACTATTTAACCAGGTGAGCTCCCCGTTTTTGCGCTCTGGTGGGTGTTCCGAGCTAACTCGGTGAAGAATGGATTTCTACAAACAGGTATGTTTAGTCTAGGTGGGGCTATGGGCCAAGACTTGCTCACACCGCATAGCGCCGATTCATTTGCCAGATCACAGGGCACTCTGGCTTGACGTTTTTCGAAGCTCTCAAGAGCGAGGTTTGTGCTAAGACGTCATCCCCACACCCAGACACTAACACGCGATAGCTTGCTGGCGCCGAAGAAGTCGAGCAGGCCTTCCCCGAAGCCCTCAAGGGCCCGGTGCTGCGACGCGTACAATTCCAAACGGTCTCTCGAATCGATACCCTGGTAGACATGGTTTTTGAAGAGTTCAGGGCGGACTACTACCCTGGCGAAGCAGTCACGGTCAGCACGGCAGACGGAGAGAGGCTGCAGGGCGTTGTCAGAGAAAAGACCCGGTTTGGAGGCAAGGTACTACCCGACGGCACCTTGACACCTCCTTACACTAGATACACGGTCAGCCTCGACGAGAGACCCGGCGCCGAAGCTGTGGTTGACGACGATCACATCTGGCGCGATCGCAAGATCTTCACG